GTCCCCGCAGCTTGTCTGCCCTCCAGGCCTCACTGAGGGTGGGTTTTTCACATACCCCCCTGAGCAACTTAGCAGGATGGATGAGCTACATTTCTTGAGTAACCCAGCCCTTAGGCCAGGGATGGGCAATCGTTTTTGATGGGGAGCCACTCCAAGAATTTGGAAAGTGGTCCAGGGTAAGGATGTTAAATTGCGGTTAATTGACTAGTGGAGTAGTGGATGGAATTCCCATCCGCTGCTCCAATAGTCATAGGCACTTGGCCAGTGGGAGCTACGTGTTTCAATCACAGGCAGCCAGGAAGCACAAGGGCCTCAGTTATTCACAGAGCATATGGCTACATTTCAAAGGAATGCAGAACTCCAACTGCAACCTGGGGCCAACGGGAAGTCCCGCTGGCTCCAGACTGCTGACTCCAGACTGCATGCTGGTGCCTGCTTTGAAATATACAAGAGTTCCCAGCGGGGGCTTTTATGTATTTCATAGCCACAGTGCCCTCATGCAGCCTGGGTTCAGCCAGGGACTCAGAGGTGGTGTTTTAAAGGATGTCAGGAGTCCGGGGCTAAAGGTTGGGGAAGGGAGGGACTGGGGTGCCAGAGGCAGGTTCTGGCCAGAAGACTTACCAGCCAGCAGCCCATTCCTGAATCAGCCTCCCTGCCCCCACACAGGCTGTAACCATATGCTCTGTGAATAACTATGAGCCCCTTGTGCTTCGTGGCTGCCCGTTATTCAAATATACAGCTCCAATTGGCCAGTTTATGTCCAGAAGTCAGCCAATTGGATTGTGCTGGGGGTGCAAGCAGTTCCTAAAGTTTTCCCCCTTCCCTCCAGGCTCGATTTTTTAAAGTGAAACTGGCCCGCAACCATGTTTCTGAGCGTCATGCAGATGGGGCGGGGAAAGTGGGGATCCTGCCTGGGGCTCCCTGCAGCATCCACAGGCTGTATCCAGTGGCTTGGTGGGCTGGATCTGGCCTGCAAGCCATATTTTGCCCCAGCCCTAGGGTTGCCAGGTGTCCAGTATTGAACCAGACAGCTCGGTATTTTGGGCCTTCCATTTGGTAAAAAAAATTAAGAAAATTCCGGACAGGGGAAATGTCCTAGTGTTTTTCCTGGCTCGGGCATCTACCAGAACACACACAGCTCAGGCTGGTTGGGGCAGACTTCAAAATGGCTGCCTTAAAAGGGCAATGCCTGTTCTGCTCTTAAAAGGGCAAATTTGGGTGGGTTGTTGTTGTTTTTTGGGGGGGGAGGGTCAACAACTTTTTCCTGAAGTACCGGCATCCTTTTTACACTGGTCCCGGGAATTAAAGGGACCGTGACTGTTTTTCTGTCCCGGTCAGTTTTTTTTTTTTTTTTTTTTTTTTGTGCTCAACAAGTTTTGCTGCTTTGTTCCCCCCTCCCCCGTTTTTTTTGGGGGGAGGGAGCCAATATTTTTTGTTAAACCATTTGGCAACCCTACCTGGCCCTCACTGAGGCCACCTGAAGTTGCCCATGGTCCTTAATAAATATGATTAATGTTTGACTGTTTGCCAGGAGGCTGATGAGTTTGTGGGTCACTACAAGTAGTGAACTGGTGTGGGCAGGAGTGGTCAAGCAACTTATGGCTCATGGGAGTAGAGGGAATGATGAGCCTCTTACGGGCCTGAGGTGGTCCAAGCCTCATAAGGCTCACACAGATAGCGAGGTTATCAGGGGACTGAAGGGCTTAGATGTCTCCATGTACTGTGTTGCTGCAGTGCATCTATACTCAACTGTAGCATGTCTGGTGAAGATGCACTGTGTGGACAGGAGAGAATTCCCCCTTTAGCATAATAAAATCATGTCTGCAAATGGCAGAAGTTGCCAGCAAGAGAAGCTCTCCCACCTACACCAGCACTTAAGTTGTGTAAGTTATGTCTCTTGGAGGTTCATGCCATGAGGGCAGGGGACTGGACTCGATGACCTCTCAAGGTCCCTTCCAGTCCTAGCATTCTAGTATTCTATGATTCACTTATTCACGCCCCTGAGTGACATACCTTATGCCAACATAGGTTGTGTCTACACTACAAACCTAAATTTCAAGGGAGTCAGAAGCAAGAGGCAAGGGAACATTTACTTGCTGGAACCGCTTTCATGGAGCAACACAAGTTAACCTAATGGAATATGACAAGGGTTCAAGATTCTTCTCTTGGGAGATAGGCAGCAGAGTGTGGACAGAGATTTTTGCCTTGATTCTGCTGATCCTCCAAGCCTCTTGCTAGGCAAATACCCAGCTAACTTTCCCCTTATGCAAGAGAGCCCTAGTCCTGTAAACATTAGAGCAGCGGTCTCCAACCTTTTTACACCGAAGATCACTTTTTAAATCTCAGAACCCGCAAAGATCTACCGCCCCGCCCCTTCCTTGAAGCCCCGCCCTCTCTATTCTCCTCCTGTCCATCACTTGCTATCCCCAGCCCTTACTTACACACTCTGATAAACAGTATATTTTTAAATTATGCGATATATAAAATTAAAATCACGTGTTTATAGTTGTCGAAGCAAAAACACGCTCCTCTGTGTTTAGGCAACTAACAAACAGCTTTATTAATTAATAAAGCACAGCATGAGCCAAACGTGGTCACAGCAGAGCCAGGCCCAGTAAGGCTGCTAATACAATCAATCCTAGTATCTTTATAGCCTTAGCCAAACAGTCTGACGTCAGGGCATCCAATTACAGAAATCCTCAATTAAATTTGGAAAAACAAAGCCTTATCAACAAGATGGCGGACAGGTACGAGGGAGTACATACATCTCCTGTCCCAACCAGCCCAATTAACACATACCAATAGCCCATCCTGTAGGCCTCTTCTCACGGGGTGACAGAAAGTTCACTCTGGTCTACGTGCTTGAGAGAAAAGCTGAAATGGTTTCTGATATACAAGATGGCTTCTAGCTAAACATAAAATAGCTTCTACATAATTATGAAATAAATGGTCTGTTTTTTATTCATGCTATTTAAATCTACAATAAAGCGTTTATAATTATACATTTTGTGGGGTCAGAGTTCTGCGGCTGGGGGCAGGGGAGAGGGAACAGGGTGCTGGGAGGGCAGAGGACAGGGTTCTGCAGCAGGGCACAGGGTGCCAGTGGGGACAGAGTTCAGGGAATGCGGACGGGAATGGAAACAGAGTTCTGTGGCTCGGGACAGGGAGTAGGGTCTGAGGAGTGGGGACAGGGTGCCAGTGGCAGCAGAGAGTCCCCTGCATCTGCCTCCTCCCAGGATTCTACCCCCCC